CTGAGTGCCACTCTCTTCATGATCTCACTGAGAAAACCTAGGTTTGACAAGAAGGATAAGTCATATTTACAGGAAACATCATACCGTAGATCTAATAATAAAGATTACCTTCTATTCTAGTCATGTTTTGATATATATAGTTGCAAACACAGATATTTTAACACAGTTCTTAGCATCTTATGAAATATTTCATCCTTCTTTTCACTACTTGTATTTTAAAAAAAAATCATTCAAAATGTCTTCAGTAACTATCCAAGAAATAGTGAATATAATAATCTTAGACTAGCTTTGTTATAAGGAGAGTAAACAAAAAGATTTATTGCTTAAAGTTCTGTCTACATAGTAGATTTCCTTCTCCATCTGTGCTTATCCACAAAAACAATGGTAGGCACCACTGCTGAATTTCACAGGATCGTGGAAATCTGATCATAATCAGCTGACATTTTTCATTTTCATTCAATTGTTTATTAAGAATTTCTTTTAACATAATACATAAAAATTAAAGAATAAGCTGTTTTGTGGTGAATTTTGGGCAATCTGTTCATGCATCGCTGGGTCTTGAAAAAGCCCATTTCTATGTATTGCACTACCATTTGATGAAAGTGTGCTATTAATCGTGTTCAAATGTGTTGAATGGTTCAGGTGGTATTCAGTCCATGGTGGCCAACTAGGTAAAGAGTCAAGAGCAGTTGTCAGAATGCAAAGTCACCCAGTGAAAAATACAGTACCTTACACTGAACCTTTGGTTGTACTGACAAAAATTCTTCTATAGGGGGTTGCTTTAGGCTCCATACAGAATCTGTGATATATACCAGGATACCATCTGATACCTACCATCTAATCTGTTTTCAAGTACTTATTCCTCTGGGCAGGTAGGTAGGTGGGTGGTTCTGTGACTTAAACAATAATCCCAACAGCACTACAGGAATAAATTTGAAGTCAGCCAAGATCCTGTCCAGTTCTAAGACACTTGTTCCAAATATAAGCTTTTTGTAACGAGTCTTGTTTTCTTCGTTACTTTCCAGCTTTTCAGAATACTGTATTTTCCGATTTATTATTGGCACAGTAAAAATGAAACAAAACAACAACAACAAAAAAACCCACTTGATTTATAGCTGGGCTAAATGCTAATTTAGGGCAATTTTCTTTTGAATCACATTAATTTTAGCTTCAATTAGAACATTTCTTTTCAGAATTACTTACCCCAAATCTGTGACATTTGTTCATATAACTTAGTTATCAGTTAATGAGAATTCATGATAAGTCCATGAACCATTTATTTCTACAAATTGTCACATTGTTTTCCAATAGAATGAATATTATTACATGACAGTTTCTTATTTATATTACCCATTCAATGTGTTTTCTGGTATTTTTTGCCTATGTTCTATCAGCTTTCTTTGAAAACATTGAACTGCTATGTAATAATTACCTTAGATTTATTTAAAATTTAACATGAGATTTTATCATACATAGTACTTGCTGTATGAAATGGAACATCAAAACTTCCACAGTATTAATTGTTTGGGTTTTAACTTGTGGCAGAAAATTGCTTTACAAATGAGTTCCCAATACATGAATGTCATACACAGATATGTTAATGTATTGCTTGTGACATTTGTTCTATTTATCAATATCAATATCAATACCTACATCTATAACTATAGCAATATCTATAATGTTAACCTTGTATAAAATTTTAGGCTGGGTTCTGTTGAACAAAACAAAGAAGTATAAGATGTAAAATGCTACCTCGTGGAAATTTACAGTTAAGTAGACTAATAAAACATATTTTTAAAGTCACAAGATGACAAAGTGTTAAAAGATGAAATAGCAGACTAAACAAACTCCCATTGAAACCTGCCTTATCAGGACCAGGGTTAGGGATTTGAGACCCTGTGACAGTTATGATTACTTAGGTGCAATTTAAGACAGGTAAAATAAGTAGCATCTAGTTCAAAAACATTTATCCTGGAATCCATGAATAGATCAGTGCCATAACTTGAGAGGGGGGATAGATGAAGAAATTATATACAGATGAATATATATGAATATATATAAATAAATATAAATGTATGTAAATGAATATATATACTTATATGTATATGTGTGTGTGTGTGTGTGTGTGTATTCATTTACCTCTAACTGCAATTTAACATTTTATTCTGACTGTAAGCAATAAAACACAGTGGTATTCACAGTAACTGTGACTTTGTCAACAGAATAAATCACAGATATTTTCAAATCACTTTGTAGAATATCAAAATGTTTATGCATGTCATTTTTCATAAAATACAAGTTATTTAAAACCCTAAAAACAAGTCAACAAGTAAGGTAAAAATAGTGTTTTATAAATTGTTTGTGTAATTAAGAAGCCATTGACAAACTATTCCACTACTGAACATTTAAAAAAATGAATCATATTGAGATTGGGGAAAGTTTTGTTATGGGCCAACTGATAGTGGCTTAGAGATAGGAATGGAGGTAAACAGACTCTCCTCAGACCAGATTTGTATTGTTAGTGAGTTTTTCCAAGTATCTCCTCTGGGACAATGATTAATGTTTTTATAATACATGCAGGAAAAAAATAATGTACAATATCACATCCACATCTATCTAAAATGTGCAAATCCTGTGGCAGTCTGTGAAACAAACTTACTTCTGTACTCTTTCAGCTCTTTCCTGCCTCTGGAGCTATCTATCTATCTATCTATCATCTATTTATTTATTTATTTATTGCTCTTTTGTAAACTGGATTAGCTTCTACCATCACCATGATACAAGCACATGTATCTCACCTTCTTCACATCCCATCTCTTATTAGAGGCCTTTCCTATTACCCTTTGTCCCCCTTGATGTGTAGGTGACTTTCTCAGAAGAGCTTTGTGTATTCATTATTCTTTATGTGAGACTCACATATACCAGACACTACTTTCTACCTGACGCTGTAATTCTTCTGTGATAGCCTCAGGTAAGATCAAGTTTCATAGAGATGCTTTGGACGTATGATGCCAAGGACAGTGCCTTACACAAAAAAKGTATTTCATAACATTTTAAAGAAAAAATATAAATAATACATCTTACCTCCTCATTGATAGGCCAGACAGTTGTATCATTTGATTACCATGCTGACATTCAGTTATATGCTTTGAAACAGCTAATTTATCCCACTGCCTTCTCTGTATTTCCTCCTTAAACTAAATCTCATTCTAAGAAGGATTTAAGAGCTATCAAGCAGAAGTCTTAGAACCACCCTTCTATAGAATTAATTTTGTAGAAAACAAACAATTTTTATTTTCTTGCCTTGAATAAAACCTGTTTTATTATTTTAAACTCAGTGTCCTCCACCCTTTTGGTGGTACGTGTATTTATTTACATCAGTGCATATGTCTTTGGCGTGAATGTTTTGACTTTGCAATGTGGTGTTGCTCTTTGTACATATTTAAGATTACATCACTAAGTAGCATATGATCTTGCAAATGGAAATGGGAGATTGCAGTTTTAATTATCTTTTCGAAGGGCTTTGTAACATTGAGACCTTGCAAGTATAGAACTTTTGTAGTCAGAATTGAGGTTTTTGCCCAGAAGATAACTGAAGATAATACTGAGAACAAGACTGTATAATTACATTTTTAAAAAGATATATTTTAGAGGATAAGTAAAATAGAAAAAGAATGGACATGACATCACAAATTTTTGAAGAAACAAAATTAGAAAAATGAGGAATGAACTTCTAGGTAGCAAATACACATGGACCAAAAGGCCTTAAGCTAGAAATGATTCAGGAAGTGAGAATGTGCCTAGGATCCAGACTAGAAAGTGCTAGAGAGATTCAAATCAAATCAGATCACCTGGTTTGTATTGTAGCATAGAGGAAGTTATAGTGTAAGATATAAGGTGTGATCTCACAATATATTAGAAGAGACCCCCCATTTTGGGGGATTGGTGAGGGTTGAACCCAGGAGTACTTAACCACTGAGCTCTTTTTATTTTTTGAGACAGGTTTTTGCTAAGTTGCTTAGGACCTCACTAAGTTGCCAAGGCTGGCTTTGAACTTGTAATCCTTCTACCTCAGTTTTGGGAGCTGCTGGGATTACAGGAACACACCACCATGCTGGGCTTCATTTTTTAAAATAACAGATCCTATAASTAGGAAAAGACATAGAACAGAAGCCAGGAAGCATAAAAGGGAATTACAACTAAAATCCTTATTTTGCAAATAGATGTTGGAAAAATTTTTTTTAACTTTCTATGTTTTTATATTAAGGTACTACTCTTTTGGAGCAGGGTTTTTCCCATCTATATTTTGAGTTTAGAGATAGTTTTATGTTAAGATACRAAAAGGAAATTTCCTAAGGGTGCATCAAAGGACTTAGTGGTAATATAGTGCATTTGAGGAAAAATGGTAAAAAGATTTTTGGACTCTGTGATATCTGACCTGGATTTTAGGACTGAACTTCCAAGTACTAATCTTAAAATGAGGATGATATATATATATATATATATTTTTTTTTCCTGTTCTTTTTGCCCAAGGCTCTTGGCCTAAAGGCCATATGAAGAACTACTGAAAATGACTGTATAAGAAAGTAGGTCAGGGGCTTTGAGAGATTCACACACACACACACTCACACATGTTATAGGAGACGGTTACAGTTAATTCTTTATATAAAACTAACAACCCACTGAATCTGGTGCATTTAAAACTATCGTCATATAAAACACTGGTTGGGACGTTCAAAACAACTTAAACCGTATTTCTAAGGTGTCTCCTGATTGAGGAAGTGGGCAGTAGGAATGGAGAAAGAATAAGACGAAGAGTCTGCCACTCAGTGTTACTGGACTTTCTTAGACAAGAGCTTTAGTCAAGTGAACTTGGCAAGGTTTCTACCACCCTAGATCTGTCCCATTAAAAGTGACCACAGAACATCCAACTGCCCTCCTGATGTCACTAGATTCCACACCGCCCTGTCATCACATTCCACATTCTCCTCTGTTGCTAGGTACCCTGGGCTCTCTTATTTTCCAAAGCTCCAGGTGCTGTTTTCCCTTGGGACTCAAATACAGAGTCTTTGGTTCAAATGCTATGGTACCCAGGCTGAATCCTTGAGAGAAGAACCTTCACCAGGGCCTGTGAACCTGAAGGCCATCCCCACAGCCTACACACGACACTACGTAGCGGGTGGTTCCCACACGCCAGCAGCCACTCAGGATGGAGCAGACCATGTTGGGTAAGGAAGCAGATTGCCCCTTTCAGGCAGTGAACTGATGTGAATTGGTTCCCATAAACAGAGGAGTCTGAAGTCTGTGATTTTAATTTCTAAATAAGTACCTTTAAAGAAGAGAGAACAAGAATCTTCAATGTGGTTACATGAAGCTCAACAATATTAAATTGCTTATTTATCCTCAGCTTACTATTCACTCTCTGTTCTTGACTGAATTTTTAAAATTAAAGACATCAAAAACTTTGTTTTAAATTTTGATTTATGGAACAGTACCATGAGACATTATTTTTTTAACTGCTTAAATTACAAAATTGGTGAACGTGTATTTGATACAAATGAATATAAATCAGTCATTTGTTCTTTACAAAACATACTCATTTATTCAGGAAAGAAATATGTAAAGCTCTTGAATTTGGTTACCTTGGTAACATCTGGAGTGAACTACTCCATCTAAAAATATTTCTCCTTTATTGTTTATATTTTATGCTGAAACTATAATTAAATGACATTTATTAAAGTCTCTCATGATAAATGATGTTTATCTTACCTAAAAATGAGTAAATGATATAGTTTTATGAGATATATGTGGTGATTTTAGATTAAAGAAATAGATAAGGCATGTTTAATTTTTAACTATAAAAGAAATTTAATTTTTATGTTAATGTGTATTTAATTTTTAATTATTTAGGGTTATTTATTCATTATTGCTAAGGCTTTTTATGTTAAGTACCTTTTTTAAAAGGGTTCTAGTACACAAATGCTAAATCATATTTTTCCTTCATAAATTAAATATAAGTAATTGAACTATATTTGAATATGCCCATTATGATTTTTTTTGGACTTTCTTAAAAAGAAAAAACTTTAAAAATCAGAATTAACCTGTTATACATTAACATAAGGACTTCAATTCAAATAAAGAGACATGAGCRATTTTCTAAATTACTTATACAAATCCTCCCCCTAATTCTGTACGTCAAAGCTCTGGACATTTTATYGTTAAAAGCTTATTTTTTTTATTTCCCAAATTAATAGTATAAAAACTGCTGTGTCATTACTTATGGGTAGTTTCCTATATTATCTTGCATATATTCTGTATGTATGAATTCTTTTATTGGGCAGGAGGATGGGGATTGAGCCTAGGGGTATTTTACCACTGAGCTATGTCCCCAGTCCTTTTTATTTTTTATTTTGAGACTGAGTCTTGCTAAATTGCTTAGAGCCTCCTTACATGGCTGAGATTTGCCTCTAATTTTCCTCCAGAGTTGCTGGAGTGAAAGGAGTGGGCCATCGCATCTGGCCATAAACTTTTTTGAATTGGTATATAAAAAGAATAATTGAGTAGAATGTGATATCGGAATATGTTAGTACTCTTTTTTAGAAAAYAGTTTTAAAATTCATTTTAAAATACTGTTCTGAAAATTAAATTTAAACATAATGCCCTGTGTTTTAAYTCCTTATTAAAGCCCTGAACCTTCATCCTGGGCCCTGGTCTCTCCTGTGTCCATTCTTACCTGTTTTGTTTGTAACTCTCTGTGGTTGTCCCTTCTTCTATATTGGCACTACTTTAGTTTGAGCTTTCAAAGATGCCAACTTATATGACATCTAAAATATCATTTTCTTCCACGTCACTTCTCACAAATAAAATTAAAATTGCTTCTGTTTGTTCTCAGAATCAACTCCAAGCCCTTTGATATACAAAACACTTCCTGGGGTGCTCTCATCCTGTTAGATTTATCTCCCCTCATTTTCTCCTTGGTGCTCTTGCTTTCATCCTTCTTCTCACCTGCCCTGTGTGTCCTTCCATCTGAGACTTTGCAAAGCTGACACTTCTATAGGGAATGCTCTCCCCAGACTTCAGCGGCTCATGGCTCACTCATCCTGTGGAATTCGACTGACATCACCTTCTTTAGAAAGCCTGCTGTCTTATTCCTTGTACTGGATTATAGCCTTTTTGCTCTGCATTTGAATTGCATGTTTAAYTCTCTATTTTTTAAAAAAATTATCTGTAAACTCATTGAGGCAGAGTCTGTAGAGGCCAAATTTTTGAACCCATATGGGCCACAGGATAGGCCCTTAAGAAATGTTTGTGGAAAACATGGATGAACAGGAGATATAGTACACTCCTTTAGAATTTAAATATTTCCATGAATATAATTTATTTTAAGGTACAAAGTATTTTATTCCACACACAAATATAATGAATACTTGATAATATTCAGGAATCAGACAAGAAAATCAAAAGTAATGAATATTATGCCTCTTGTTTGCTTACATTCATATAGTTTCCTTAATAGCCTTTAAAGAAAACAATTGAACACCTCTGTCTATCATAATTCTTTATAATTAGTAGCAAATTCTCCTCATATAGGTAAAGACGAATTAATTAAGAAAACAGAATATTGTTTTGTGTAAACTTGGTCTATGTGTTTTGTTTTCAGAAATTTGGGATCATATTGGCTACACTATCTAAAGTTTTCTAGCCAGTACTTTCTGATTCACATTTTTCTTTATCTAAAATTGGACTATTGAGTGACTGCATAATATTTGAACCATTCCAACATTTATTAATCCAGTATTCTATTTTTGTTGCTTTATGTCACCTCCAAATTTTTGCTACTCAAATTWACACTGATGTTAAGTGTATTTTTTTTAACTTATTCAGAGACGTACATAATGATTAGGCTTCTTAGGTTTAAAAATCTCAGAAGTGTAATGACCATAGCAAAGTTTATGAGCACTTCYAGTGTTTTAGATGCATATTAAAACTCATAAAGGTTGTACCAATATRCATCTCCATTAACCAGTGATAGGTAATGCTTTTCATTAGAGACTTCTTGGTAAATCTGGATATTCTCACTGGAGAAATAAAATCTATTTGCAAAGTAATTGAGAATTTATTTTATTCTTTGTTTAAATTTACTTTGAGATGACATTTGGTATCCAACTGTTTATTTTATCTTCTTCATATTATTTCATGTCTTGTGCTTTGATGTGCCTGTTAGATTAAAAATAACAATAGCTGCATTGCAAGGTTACTGTTTAGGTTAAATTACATATTATATATAAAATTAGTTGGCACAATGTCACACACAATRGGAACTCAGCAAATGCAAGTTGAAGTTGAAAAGGAGAGCATATTAATTAAAATAAAAATATAAATTTTTCTTTCCAACAGATGATTCTGCTGCAGAGAGCTTTAATGGCAATGAGACTCTGGGGCACAGTTCAATTGCTTCAGGGGGAACACACAGCAGGGAGATGGGAGACTCCAACAGTGATGGCAAGACTGGGGTGGAACAGGATGAACAGCCACTGAATCTGAGTGACAGTCCCCTCTCTGCACAGCTGACTTCGGAATACAGAATAGATGATCACAGCAGTAATGGGAAAAGCAAATATAAGAATCTTCTAATTTCTGACCTCAAGATGGAACGAGAGGCGAGAGAAAATGGAAGCAAGGTAAGGTCATGTTACAATTTCCAGAGAATTTTTAAGTTGGTCATGAAGGTCACAAAGAAGCATCTATATGTGCTGGAGATAATGATTGTGGCCAATAAAATATTTAAAGCAAATCCCCAAAATATGTTACCAAGAATCTTATAATCATGCATATTGTGTGTCCATAAAATATGATTTCAGTAAAAACGATGAGTAAATTGGATCATGTCTCAAAACTCTTGGTATTTTTGACAGAATTGCCTGATTTCATGTATCTCATTTATATAATCTACTTATGGATCTGTCTCTGGGAATTTATAGAGCTCAGGTGTGAAAGTTTCAGTCTCAGTACACAATTTTCAACTATAAAAAGATCACTATCTTGTTTCTCTAGATTGGATAGGTGTGTGTAGCAATAACATTTCAATTAAATTCTCCAGTTTGCTTTGGAGACCTGGGGACTGTAGTCAGTAATTTACTTTCTGGCACCAGAGWACTATTTAGTGTCAGTTTCCTGGATGAAATCTGTGGATTAAATACCCACTTAAAGAAGTGATTCATCATAAATTATATTACACAAAAGTCAGAAACATGTTTCAGACATATTATCTRAATTTTCTAGATTCTTTGCATTAGACTTCGTGACAACCACCCACCAATTCTCAAATGCTTTATTTTTAAAAATTAAGCTTAAATGTATACAATTTTGAAATTGCTGAGGCTGGTGAATTTTCTTTGTAACTTTTGAAGATGTATTTTAGGGACACAGGAGGATTTTTATGCAATGTACATTTTTATGTCCTTCTCTTGCCTCTACCTGTAAGATGGAGTTGTAGACTGGTTTCTGACATGCATTCCTAAAAATGAAACATCTTAATCTGGATTAATTTCTGAATTTGCTGAGGCACTATGCTTCCTAAATTGGCTCTATTTAAATCGTCTCCTTGCCTGAGGGTGTGTCGTTTCATCTTCTTTTAAGCAAGTCACTAGACATCACCAGACACTTAAGCTCTTCTGYCTGCGGGAGGCTGCTACAACTTTTGCTGTGGTAAATTGCACAAATGTCCTCAGTGGTTTGAAGCCGGATCACACAAGCACAAATGATTTTATATTTGCTAACATGATCTGAATCACTGCATACATTTTACAGAACAAAATCATCCTAAACGATTTCCCGCCCACCACATTACCCTATCTTTACAAGGATTAAAGAATCATGAAACATCCTTCTTATGCYATGTGCTTGTTCAATTTTTTTCCCTAAAATTATCCAGTGGTTTGATCTTCTCTTCTTTCTCCCCTTGTTCAATGTTATCTGGGGAACTTTGCTCATTAAAGCATGTTCCTGCACACATTAACCAGAATGAAATTACCTTTTGGCTCTATTAAAATAGAGTTATGAAACACAGATTGTTGGKGCTATTATCTGAGAGTAAAATAAGCAAAGGACTAGCACAGAAGGAGATACTCTTTTGAGGTAGCATCAGTTACCAGTTACTAACCAAACAGCCAACAGAGAAGAAGCAGTGAGCCTAAGAAGAATCAGAAGGGTGTACAGTATATAAAAGCCAACAAAGTTCACCTTTCAAGGAGATGTTGGTCAATCTAGTTAACAATGCTGAGAAATAAAATAAGATGAAGGTATAAAATAATGGAACTTATACTAATTTAACTCTGGATATCTGTATTAAAACATSATTAGACCTTACAGTTATACAATTAAAAAACTAAACCTGGCATACTCAAAGCAGTGGTATAGGTAGCAGAGACAGCTCACAGAAATACCAGTCTTTATGTATAAGACACTTAACTATATACAGTTTTGGGGAAGAGGATACATATGCATAGAAAAGCTTTTTACTGCAAGTATAGGCAAATATTCTTTCCTAGGTTAAAACATAGAGTTCAAGTAAAAAAAAATATTATTTCTATTGMTGTAATAGTCAAAATGTGCTTCCCAGAGGAAATGAGTCTTGAACTTGAAGGGAATGTGAGATTACCATTATTTTTCAGCCATCTCTTGCTAGATACTGTGAAGATCCTTTAATGCAGACAGGGAAGAATCTKGGTCTCAGGCTAGAGAGCCATTGGCCATTTCAATCTGTGTATGACTTCACATCATGGCATGTGAGGAAGAACCTTCCATTACAACATGAGATAAACTATTTGCCACCAATTAATTCATTTGCCAAATATTTATCGAGGAGTTATACTTGTAAGATACTACTGTAGGAAGCAAAAATCTGCAAATGAGTGAAGAAGGGTCCTTGCCCTTCAACAGCTCCTGGTATAGCAAAAAAGGGAGCTGAATTTATGCTTAAAGTCTAATATATAAATATTTTTATACCAGGGATTAAACTCAGGGGCACTCAACCACTGAGCCACATCCCCAGCCCTATTTTGTATTTTGTTTAGAGACAGGGTCTCATTGAGTTGCTTAGCACCTACCTTTGCTGAAACCGGCTTTGAACTTGAGATCCTTCTGCCTCAGCCTCCCAAGCTGATAGGATTATGGGTGTGTTGCCATCATGCCCTGTTGATTATGGTCTGATTCTTTAAGTGATACAATGTCATATGGACAGGGTGAAATGAGAGAACGAAAGTGGGGAACCCAAGGGACCATACTGATTCTTTTTTTGTTTTGTAGAACAGATTTTTTTTTCTCTTTGAAAAGTTTAATAAAGTTGACAAATTTCTAGTAAGACAGGGAAAAAGTATGAAACAAGGCACAAATTATATTCTTTTCTCAGAAATATAAAAATAAACATTAATACTAATGCTGTTCCTTCTGTTATATTAAACATAGTGTATAAATAGCCTTGTGCCAATACTTTGTTGTTGTTGTTCTTTTTCTTAAGGATGACTGGGGGGAAAGAGTGGTACCAGAGATGAATATAGAAGGGCAAGTGGGAATTGCTTGGATGAAGATTATTAATGGTGGAGGGTTAAGTGTGTTTTGAGGCATTCATCTATGAGAACACCTGCTTGGCTAGGAGATTTGCAAGAAGCTTAGAATGGCCACAGGAGAAGAGGATGTGCAATATGACTAAGTACAAAGAGGCTGCGTCATTAAAGGATTTAGGCCCCTTTAAGACTTTGGATTATGATCAATAGGTAGAGTTAAGTATGATCATCTTGTAGTCATATTGGAATCTAAGAAAAATTATTCTGGCAATAATTGTGGTAGTGAATTAATAAGAAAGGAACTCAGGGAAGGGTAAATGAATTTGGTTAGAGAGCTACTCTAGCAACCCAAGAGAAAAATAATAACATTTAAAGTCAAATAAATGGAAATGGGAATGGAAAGCAGATATAAAAACAAATGGAACATGTTACTTTTATACTTCTGATGTTTTATTTGCAGCACCATTATTTATAAGTCCATAGATTATATATAGCCAAACTCCTAGTGATGGCCGTTCACATTAGAATATAATATGAATAACCTCTATCTGGCCATATCCAATTAGGGTTTACATTCTAAGAGCACAGAAATAATGTTTACCTTGCTTAATGCAGTATGCTTAGTATTTGGCTTACCATCTGGAACACAATAGTTTGTCAATAAATATTTTGAAGAAATTCATAAAGGTTTACTGGATGTGGGAAGTAAGACAGAGAACATTCTAGAGTGACTCCAAGATTTTTCACTTGGTTGCCTGAGTGGATGGTGATCGCATTTGTCAAGATTCAGAGTGAGAAACATTTGGATAAGGAGTTTCAATAGATAAGGTTTACAGTGCCTTTTGCAATATCCATTGGACATCATAGTAGGTATTGGAGATACTTGTGTCAGCTGTATGAAGAATGATGTGAAGAATGATGTGAGTTGGTGAGAGAGACATTTAAAAGATTTCAGAGCAGAAGGTGTGCTGCCCAGGATATACATGCTTGATATAATCACCCATTAGGAAAAGGTGGCTAGAAAGGAGTTTGTAGAAGAACAATTATGCAAGCAGAAAAAAAGAAGGCAGCCAGATAAAGAAATGTTTTAGAAGCCAAATTGTGGCATATTTCATATATGTGTAAGTGATTAAATTAAGTCAGTCTTAGGTGAAGAAGTGACAGAGATTTAAGCCTGGATCATAGTTAGGAGAATGGATGGCAGGAGAAACATTTGAAGAATTAGTGGGAATTTTGACTGAGATGGAAAAGCCTAGTCATTTTAACTAGAAAGGAAACRGTATGGAATTTGTTCTGGTATTTCTTCTTGTAATCTGAATCTGAATATAAATGGCTTGAGGGCTCCTGGTTTGGGATCAACACTTATTTTATCCCATTGCTATCAGATGAAATGCATTCTAAAGTTCTCTGTGATCAGTACTATCTCTTGTGGTTCCTTAGGAATGCTCCATCACTTCTGTTTGACCTTTTGAAGTGACACTACTACCATTTTTTTTTCTTCCTTGGAGGGATATAAAAGCTTAATTATATAGAATCTTTGAGAAGCTTAGATTCCTGTGAGTTTAATATTGACCTATTTCTCAGTTTTGTTATGAATAATATCAAACAAAAGTGATTATGAGGCATTTAAAAAATAGAGCGATGAATAGAAATGCTTATAAAGAATAGCTGAGTTGGACTATGCCATTTACTGATTGCTTATTATTATGCAAATTCACTCACTAGACTAGCAGGGAATCACTTTAACCAATCTAAAAACTAAATATATGCCGTTGAAAGAGTTTAGGTGGTATTTATTTTCTTTGCTGATAGCCACATTTTTAAGGGGCAACTTAATAACATTAGAATTCAGAAGTGAGAGCAGAAATGATGATGAGTTTAGAAAATAAGACCCACGAGAAAGCGTTAAGGGACTAGCTGTAGAGAAAAAGAGAAGACAATAAATTGCAAATCTAGAGCCTACTGTCTCTTCTAAAATTATTAATAGATGAGAACGGAAACAAATCCATAATTTGAACAGAGATAAATACATGACTTAAAAACACTAAATTGTAGAATATTCTTTTTAATTTTCTGTTTTTCTTTTAGTACTTGTTAAACAGTGGCTTCTTATTTAA